GGAAATATTAATTTTTTTTTATTATCACACTGGCCGATTCCCACCAAGGCAGGGTGGTCCGAAAAAGAAAAGCTTTCACCATCATTCACTCCATCACTGTCGACCATGGACTTGCTTGATACTACTTTCTCAACTTTTTGAAAATCAGTTGGATGGTTAAAATCTCTTACATGAATAAATAGAGCATTGGAATCTTGTCCAGTTCTAATGCTATATTTATGTTGTTTTAATCTTAGTTCGAGATTTTTACCAGTTTGACCGTAATAAACTTTATCGCAAATTTTACAAGGAATCTTATAGACACATCCATCAGCATTTTGGTGGGAATTCTTTATCAGAAGTTTTTTTACTGTATCAAGATTTTTAAAAACAACTTTGATATTAAAAGTCTTAAGAAGAGAAGGCATATGAACCAAGTTTTCATGGTAAGGGAGAACCAACATATTTTTAGTTGAATAAGGCTGGTTGTTCCTTTTTGGATTGTAAAAAGTATTTCTAGCAACTTTAAAAGATTTATCGTCTACGTTTCTTGGGTATTTTAAATCATTACCTATTTCTTAAATTTTGGATATTTCCTCATCTATGAACTCTGGACTACAAATTCGTAAAGTTCTCAAAAACATTGATGAGAAAACAGACAGTTTAACTCTATCTTGATGTGAAGAATAATAGTGGACATCAAGATAGAATTAAACTGTCTGTTTTCTCATCAATGTTTCTGAGAACTTTACGAATTTGTAGTCCAGAGTTCATAGATGAGGAAATATTCAAAATTTATGAAATAGGTAATGATTTAAAATACCCGAGAAATGTAATTGATAAATCTTTTAAAGTTGCTAGAAATACTTTTTACAACCCAAAAAGGGACAACCAACCTTATTCAACTAAAAATATGTTGGTTCTCCCTTACCATCAAAACTTGGTTGATATGCCTTCTCTTCTTAAGACTTCTAATATCAAAGTTGTATTTAAAAATCTTGATACAGTAAAAAAAAAAAATTGATAAAGAATTCCCCCCAAAATGCTGATGGATGTGTCTATAAGATTCCTTGTAAATTTGCGATAAAGTTTATTACGGTCAAACTGGTAAAAATCTCGAACTAAGATTAAAACAACATAAATATAGCATTAGAGGAGAAGATTCCAATGCTCTATTTATTCATGTGAGAGATTTTAACCATCCAATTGATTTTCAAAAAATTGAGAAAGTTGTATCAAGCAAATCCATGGTCGACAGGAATGTAATTGAATCTTGTTTCATAAAAAGCAGTTTTGACAATAATATGAATATTTCCTTTGGTTTATATAAATTAGATCCATTTATAATTAATAGAATTTGGAAAGAATTTAATAATACATTGGACAAATAATAAATTTTAAAATTCTTAGTTCTTTGGTAGAATAGTTTGTTGGTGGGTTGTGTGAAGGACCTGTCTAGTTGGGCCAGTGGGCCTGCTGCAGTGTTCCCTTTCTTATGAGTCGCACATCAGGTGTTGCTTTGTTGTGGGATGTGATAGTGAGGTGTGGGCTAGACCCTTTATGTGCCTTCCATTGATGCATTACTTTCATTGTTTCTTGATAATGTGACTAGTCACGAAAGCGCTTGGAATTTCTCTATTCTTTCACAGTGGTTGTTTTGCATATATATATATATATATATATATTATATATATTATATATATATATATATATATATATATATTAATATATATATATATATATATATATTATATAAACACATCAGCTGGTTCCCACCAAGGCAGGGTGGCCCGAAAAAGAAAAACTTTCACCATCATTCACTCCATCACTGTCTTGCCAGAAGGGTGCTTACACTACAGTTTTTAAACTGCAACATTAACACCCCTCCTTCAGAGTGCAGGCACTGTACTTCCCATCTCCAGGACTCAAGTCCGGCCTGCCGGTTTCCCTGAATCCCTTCATAAATGTTACTTTGCTCACACTCCAACAGCACGTCAAGTCTTAAAAATAATTTGTCTCCATTTGCTCCTATGTAACATGCTCACACATACCTGCTGGAAGTCCAAGCCCCTCGCACACGAAATCTCCTTTACCCCGTCCCTCCAACCTGTCCTAGGCTGACCCCTACCCAGCCTTCCCTCCACTACATTTTTATACACTCTCGAAGTCATTCTTTTTTTTTTTACCCTCTCTACTTGTCCAAACCATCTCAATAACCCCTCCTCAGCTTTCTGGATAATAGTTTTGGTAATCTTGCACCTCATCCTAATCTCAAAACTAAGGATTCTCTGCATTATATTTACACCACACATTGCCCTCAGACATGACATTTCCACTGCCTCCAGCCTTCTCCTTGTGGCAACATTCATCACCCATGCTTCACACCCATACAAGAGCGTTGGTATAACTATACTCTCATACATTCCCCTCTTTGCCTTCATGGACAAATTTCTTTGTCTCCACAGACTCCTCAGTGCACCACCCACCTTTTTCCCCTTGTCATTTCTATGATTCACCTCGTCCTTCATAGACCCATCTGCTGACACTTCCACTCCCAAATATCTGACTACTTTCACCTCCTCCATAGTGTCTCCCTCCAATCTTATATCCAATCTTTCATTACCTAGTTTTTTTTTTATCTTCATCACTTCACTCTTTCCTATATTCACTTATAATTTTCTTATTTGACATACCCTGCCAAATTCATCCGTCAACCTCTGCAACTTCTCTTTAGAATCTCCCAAAAGCACAGTGTCATCAGCAAAGAACAACTTTGATAACTCCCACTCTGTGTTAGATTCTTTGTCTTTCAACTCCAACACCTCTTGCCAACACCCGAGCATTCACTTCTCTTTCAACTCCATCTATAAATATACTGAACAACCATGGTGACATCACACATCCTTGTCTAAGACCTACTTTTACTGGGAAATATTCTCACTCTGGCCTACATAATCTAACCAGAGCCTCACTATCCTTGTAAAGACATTTCACTGTTTTCAATAACCTCTCCTATTAATTAGCAACATCTGCCACACTGCCCCCCTATCCACCCTATCATTCGCCTTTTCCAAATTCATAAATGCCTCGGAAACCCCACTACACTATTATTGAAATACTATTCACCTATATGTTTCACTGCAAACACTTGGTCTACACGCCCCTACCCTTCCCAAAACTTCATTGTTCATCTGCTATCCTGCTCTCCGTCTTACTCTTAATTCTTTCAATAATAACTCTACCATACACTTTACCAAGTATAATCAACAGACTAATTCCCCTATAATTTTTACACTCTCTTGTGTCTCCTTTGCCTTTATACAAATAAAAGCACCAACGACTCCAAAACTATATCCCCACCTGCTTTTAACATTTCTATCTTTATCCCATCAATCCCGGCTGCTTTACCCCCTTTCATTTTACCTACTGCCTCACGAACTTCCCCCACACTCACAACTGGCTCTTTCTCACTCCTACAAGATGTTATTCCTCCTTGCCCTATACACGAAATCACAGCTTCCCTATCTTCATCAACATTTAACAATTCCTCAAAATATCCCCTCCAGCTTCCTGATACCTCTAACTCTCCATTTAATAATCCTCCTCTCCTATTTTTAACTATCAAATCCATTCTTTCCCTAGGCTTTCTCAGCTTATTATTCTCACTCAAAAAGTTTTTCTTATTTTCAACAAAATTTGTTGATAACATCTCACCCACTCTCTCATTTGCTCTTTTTTTTACATTGCTTCACCACTCTCTTAATCTCTCTTTTTCTCTCCATATACTCCTCCCTCCTTGCATCACTTCTACTTTGTAAAAACCTCTCGTATGCTAACTTTTTCTCTCTTTCTACTCTCTTTACATCATCTTTCCACCAATTGCTCTTCTTCCCTCCCGCACCCACTTTCCTGTAACCACAAACTTCTGCTGAACACTCTAACACTACATTCTTAAACCTAATCCATACCTCTTCAACATCATTGTCTATACTCTAACTAGCCCATCTATCCTCCAATAGTTTATGTTTTACCCTAACTGCCTCCTCCTTTAGTTTATACACCTTCACCTCTTTCTTACTTGCTGCTTCTATTTTCCTTGTATCCCATCTACCTTTTACTCTCAGTGTAGCTACAACTAGAAAGTGATCTGATATATCTGTGGCCCCTCTATAAACATGTACATCCTGAAGTCTACTCAACAGTCTTTTATCTACCAATACATAATCCAACAAATTACTGTCATTAAGCCCTACATCATATCTTGTATACTTATTTATTCTCTTTTTCTTAAAATATGTGTTACCTATAACCAAACCCCTCTCTATAAAAAGTTAAATCAAATGTTTCCCATTATCATTTACACCTGGCACCTCAGACTTGCCTACCACATCCTCTCTAAATGCTTCTCCTACTTTAGCATTTAGGTCCTCAACCACAATTACTCTCTCACTTGGTTCAAAAGTTCCTACAGACTCACTTAACATCTCCCAAAATCTCTCTCTCTGCTCTACAATTCTCTCTTCTACAGGCGCATACACACTTATTATAACCCACATTTTGCATCCGACCCTTATTTTAATCCACATAATCCTTGAATTTATGCATTTATATTCCCACTTCTTCTTCCATAATTGATCCTTCAACATTATTGTTACCCCTTCCTTAGCTATAACTCTCTCAGATACTCCTGACTTAATCCTACTTATTTTTCCCCACTGAAACTCCCATATCCTCTTCAGCTTTGTTTCGCTTAGAGCCAAGACATCCAACTTCTTTCCATTCATTACATTAGCAATCAATTCTTTCCTCTCAACCGCACTACATCCACGCATATTCAAATATCCCAGTTTTATAGTTTTCTTTTTCTAGTATGTATATAATATATATATATATATATATATATATATATATATATATATATATATATATATATATATATATATATATATATATATATATATATATCTTAGAAGTTCAACCTTTATCAAGACAGATGGTACTAAAAAATTTTACATTCTAACCTTTACAGTCATTAAAATTTGTACATGTATACACCACGTCCTCCTTGAATTTACACTGGAAGTCAGACGGTCTTGTACTATCATGTAGCTTCAACTCCAGACAATAATCATCCACTTTTCTCTCGTCTGGACTCACACAATCTACCTTCTGTCCTCCCTTGCTTAGCCACACGTCCAGTTTATCACCATCTATGGATAAAATAATCCTGTTTATTCAAGTGCAGTATTGTGGTATATTGTTTTAACCTTCATCTAATTGAGATTGAATGTAAGTGTGCAAGCCTGATAATGTGTATAATGTTTAAATCATGTATGAGACATCTGAAGGTCTGATCTGTCTATTTTTAAAGTATCAACGAATATAATTAGCTATTTAAAATATTCTGAGTCCTGTATTAGTTTTTCTCCTTTGCGATTAAACTTGACCATATAATTAGCTGCTGTTAGTTGGATCAGAGAATAAGAACTGTTAAAAGAGACTAGATGTAGTGTAACTTTGCTCACACACACACACACACACACACACACACACACACCATGTGCGCGAGTCACGCCTTCTGTGCTCCGCGAATATGAGTGTTTTTGAGGGCTACCCAAGTGTACTACAAGGGTTGCTAAGTATGTTAGGGTAGTGAACAATCTCTTGAAGCAATTTGCAATATGCCTGAGCCACATAAGTGTGGGGAGAGCCACAATTTTGTAAGTGATCTAGAAAGCAAAACGTGGTGGCACATTCAAAGCAGGCAGGCTAGTGTGTGTGCTCAGGCGACGTTGCCACATGTCATCCAAGAGAGATAATAAAGTGAAACAATTATGTGACCAGTGAAAGAAATACAGTGAATAGGGTACATTATATAACGAGAAGAAATTGAGGTGGATCTACGCCAGGACGTCACATCGAGCTGGACAATCTACTGGCTGCTACAGCTGCATTGCAAGTACTGTATTCACCTATGCGTGGTTGTTTGGATGTGGGTTTCAGGTTCCAATTAACCGCCAAGCTGACTGTGAACGGTCCAACTCTCCTAGCACGATAAATAATAGGCACTCAAGTACTCAATAAAGAATAACAATTGGTAATCTATGGAACAAGGCGAGTAAGTTACTATAAGCCTAGGTGGTAGTAAAAGCATAGAGGACAGCACTGTAAGTAGGTGTGGGTCAAGTCACAGGAGAGTGAGGGTCAGGTCACAAGAGGTTGTGGTCAGGTAAGTGACCACTGGGACTCCACATAACACTCCAACGCACAATTCCACCTACTTTTCAGACACTTAATAAACCCACACATAGTTCCACACATAAGTTACTAGTTATGGGTGATTTCAATCACAAGGAGATTGACTGGATGTGGTACTGGAGAACCTCATGCATCAACATGTTAGAGACACTACCAGAGAGAGAGGAGAGGATGAACCAGCAAGGTTGGACCTTGTATTCACCATGAGTAGTTCAGACATCGAGGGTATCATGTATGAAAGGCCCCTGGGAGCTAGTGATCATGTGGTTCTGTGCTTCGACTACATAGTTGAGCTCCAAGTGGAGAGAGTAGCAGGAATAGGCTGGGAAAAACCAAACTACGAAAGGGGGAACTACTCAGGCATGAGGAACTTCCTTCAAGACATTCATTGGGAGAGGGAACTGACAGGAAAACCAGTACAAGAAATGATGGACTATGTAGCAACAAAATGCAAGGAGGCAGAGGAGAGGTTTGTTCCCAAGGGAAACAGAAATAATGGGAAGAACAGAACGAGTCCTTGGTTCACCCAAAGGTGTAGGGAGGCAAAAACTAGGTGTACTAGAGAATGGAAAAGGTACAGAAGACAGAGAACTCAGGAAAATAAAGAAATCAGCCGAAGAGCCAGAAACGAATATGCACAGATAAGAAGGGAGGCTCAGAGACAATATGAAAATGACAGAGCATCAAAAGTAAAGACTGACCCGAAGCTGTTGTACAGCCACATCAGGAGGAAAACAACAGTCAAGGACCAGGTAATCAGACTGAGGAAGGATGATAGGGAGTTCACAAGAAACAACCGAGAGGTATTTGAAGACCTCAACGAGATTTAAAGAAGTATTTACAGTGGAAACCAGTAGGACTCCAGGAAATCAGAACAGGGGGGTACACCAACAAGTGCTGGATGAGATACCCATAACCAAGGAGGAGGTGAAGAAGCTGCTATGTGAACTTGACACCTCAAAGGCAGTGGGACCAGACATCTCTCCGTGAGTCCTTAGGAAGGGAGCAGAGATGCTTTGTGTGCCATTAACAAAGATCAACACATCCATTGAAACTGGGCAACTCTCTGAGGTATGGAAGATGGCAAATGTAGTCCAAATTTTTAAAAAGGGAGACAGACATGAGGCATTAAACTACAAACCTGTGTCACTAACGTGTATAGTATGCAAAGTCATGGAGAAGATCATCAGGAGGAGAGTGGTGGAGCACCTGGAAAGAAACTAGCATATAATTGACAACTAGCACTGTTTCAGGGAAGGAAAATCCTGTGTCACAAACCTACTGGAGTTTTATGACAAGGTGACAGAAGTAAGACAAGAGAGAGAGGGGTGGATTGACTGCATTTTCTTGGACTGCAAGAAGGCCTTCGACACAGTTCCTCACAAGAGGTTACTGCAAAAGCTAGAGGATCAGGCACACATAACAGGAAAGGCACTGCAATGGATCAGAGACTACCTGACAGGAAGGCAACAACGAGTCATGGTAGGTGACGAGGTGTCAGAGTGGGCGCCTGTGACAAGCGGGGTTCCACAGGGGTCAGTCCTAGGACCTGTGCTGTTTTTGGTATATGTGAATGACATAATGGAAGGGATAGACTCAAAAGTGTCTTTGTTTGCAGATTATGTGAAGTTAATGAGGAGAATCAAATCGGACGAGGATCAGGCAGGACTACAAAAAGACCTGGACAGGCTACAAGCCTGGTCCAGCGACTGGCTGCTTGAGTTTAACCCTGCCAAATGCAAAGTCATGAAGATTGGGGAAAGGCAAAGAAGACCGCAGACACAGTATAGTCTAGATGGCCAAAGACTGCAAACCTCACTCAAGGAAAAAGATCTGGGGGTGAGTATAACACTGAGCACATCTCCTGAGGTACACACTAATCAGATAACTGCTGCAGCATACAGGCGCCTGGCAAACCTAAGGAGAGCGTTCCGATACCTCAGTAAGTAATCGTTCAAGACTCTGTATACCATTTACGTCAGGTCCATACTGGAGTATGCAGCACCAGTTTGGAATCCACACCTGGTCAAGCACGTCAATAAATTAGAGAAAGTGCAAAGGTTTGCAACAAGACTAGTCCCACAGCTAAGGGGATTGTCCTATGAAGAAAGGTTGAGGGAAATCGGCCTGACGACACTGGAGGATAGGAGGGTCAGGGGAGACATGATAACGACATATAAAATACTGCACGGAATAGACAAGGTGGAAAAAGACAGGATGTTCCAGGGAGGGGACACAGAAACAAGATGGGGAGTAATTATGCTGACAAAAATGAGATCACCAGTACTGGAAGAGGTTGAGAAGTTATTATTGGTGTGGATAAATGAGAAACAATTAGCAGGAGATACTCTTATGACTTCGTTTATTTGTGAAAAGGCTAGGCAGTTGCATGAAGATTTGGTAAAGAAATTGCCTGCAAATAGTGGTGATGTGAGTGAATTTAAGGCCAGCAAAGGCTGGTTTGAGAGATTTAAGAACCGTACTGGCATACACAGTGAGGTAAGGCATGGTGAGACTGCCAGTTCGGACCACAAGGCAGCTGAAAAATATGTGCATGAATTCCAGGAGTACATAGAGGCTGAAGGACTGAAACCTGAACAAGTGTTCAATTGTGACGAAACAGGCCTCTTTTGGAAGAAAATGCCAAAGAGGACCTTCATTACACAAGAGGAAAAGGCAATGCCAGGACACAAGCCTATGAAAGACAGGCTGACGCTAATGTTCTGTGCTAATGCTAGTGGGGATTTCAAAGTGAAGCCATTACTAGTGTACCATTCTGAAAATCCCAGAGTGTTCAGGAAAAACAATGTTATGAAGAGTAAATTGTGTGTGTTTTGGAAATCTAATAGTAAGGCATGGGTCAGATTGTGTCGACAAGAGGGATTTTGAAGAATTTGGGACTGACCCTAATGAGCCTATGTCTGTTGTAAAATCAATTGTGGCACTGGGGAGTTCCATGGGGTTGGATGTGAGTTTGGAGGATGTGGAAGAATTGGTGGAAGACCACAATGAAGAGCTCACCACTGAGGAGCTGCAAGAGCTTCAGCAGGAAGAGCAACACATCGCAGCTCAGAATCTTGCTGCAGAGGAGGAGGAAGAGAGATGGAAGAAGGTGCCTTCTTCAGAAATTAAAAAATTTTTACTATGTGGGGTAAGATGGAAAGCTTTATGGAGAAACATCACCCTAACAATGTTGTTGCAAGCCAGGTTAGCAACATGTACAGTGACAAAGTCTTGGGCCATTTTAGGGAAGTGTTAAAGAGACGCCAGAAACAGAGCTCTCTCCACAGTTATTTTGTGAGACAGGACTCCAGTGACTCTCAAGGTGGTCCTAGTGGCATTAAGAAACAGAGAAGACAAGCAACCCCAGAAAAGCAAATGGTACCTGAGGTGTTGATGGAAGGGGATTCCCCTTCCGAACTATAAACAATCCACTCTCTCCTCCTCCAGTCTCCCATACACTAAGAAGAATCTCCAATAAAGGTAAGTGTTATGCTGTTAATGTTTCATTCATCATTTCCCATTGTATTGTTTATGTACTACATGTATATTTCATGTTAAAAATTTTTTCATTTTAATACTTCTGGGTGTCAGGAACGGATTAATTGTATTTACATTATTTTTTATGGGGAAAATTGATTCGTAAATCGTAAATTTCGTTTATAGTAACGGCTCCAGGAATGGATTAATTACGAACAACGAGGGACCACTGTATATATATATATATATATATATATATATATATATATATATATATGTCGTGCCGAATATGTAAAACTGGTCAATTAGCAAGAACTCATTTAAAATTAAGTCCTTTCTAAAATTTTCTCTTATACGTTTAAAGATATATTTTTTTCATTAATGTTAATGTAAAAATTTTTAACTTTGCACCAAAAGCATCTTAGAAAACTTACCTAACCTTATTATAACAAGAGCAATTTATTTTAGCCTA